CTTCGCCCCAAATCCTGGCATCTCAACCGCCGGCCCCCAAGCCCAGTTAGTCTATTCCCTGCTTGGCAGGAGCTTGGAGACAAGGATGGGCAGTGAGGGGTTTGGCCGGGGAGGTGGGCGGGAGTGCGCTAAACCGCTATCAAGGTCTGGGTCGGTCGGTAAGATAAGGAAACCAGCCGTGGAAAAGAAGCACTCTGTCCCGCTAACAAAGAGATACATGGCCTCCCTCCGCCCCTTCTTCCCCGCCACCCCACTCGCGCCCATTGCCTAACACTCAAGAGATAAACTCGCAACTCAACGGCCTGTCCCCCCAACTGCCTCTTGGTGCAAAATTGTGGGAGGAAAGAACCCCCCCCCCACTCCCCAGCGGTCGCATTGGCGGCCGCTCTGCCTGCCTTAGGCTGGGAGACACTGCTCAGGATCAAGTCCTGTGGTTCCAGTAAAAGATGTATCAAGATTTATTAGAACCAAGTCCATGGTCCTAATTTTTAAAAAATGTATTGAGACTTAATAGGGAAAAAAAGATGTAACAAGAAATGTAGAACATGAAAATGTGTGCACATGTGTGTGTGAGACAGATTATGGAATGGATGAATTGAACACAAGTGACTAATCAGATGAGGGGGAAAGTGGAAACTACCCTCCTTATACCGAAATCACAGATCTGTGAACTATTCTAATATTGAAAATGAAATCATAAAAGTAGTAAAATGAATCATGGAGTTTTTGCTTTGTTTACAGTCTTGTAGTGGGGAAGAGGTCTCTAAGCAAGATGTAAAAGGGATAGTTTGGCTATATGAAAAACGAGTGAAGAAATGACTATGGGGCCAGGTGGGGTGGCTCACACCTGTAATCCCAACACTTTGGGAGGGGTAGGTGAGAGGATTGCCTGAGTTCACAGATTCAAGATCAACCTGGGCAACTTGGTGAGACCTCATCTCTACAACAAATCAAAAAAACTTAGCTGGACATGGTGGTGCAGGCCTGTAGTTCCAAATACTTGAAAGGCTGAGGCGGAAGGATCACCTGAGCCCAGCAGGCTGAGGCTGCGGTGGCTGTGAGTGTGCCACTGCACTCCAGCCTGGGCGACAGAGGCAGACTTTGACTCAAAAAAAAAAAAAAAAAAAGACTATGAACTAAACTTGAGAGATAAATGACAAACTGTGAAAAAAATATTTGCAGTGTAAGACAGATAAAGGTCTACCTTCCTTAAGAGCTCTAAAACAACAATGTATTTTTTTGAGTTGGTGCTCTCTCTGTCACAGAGGCTGAAGTGCAGTGGCATAACTATGGCTCACCACAGCCTCAACCTCCTGGGCTCAGGCGATTCTTCTGCCTCAGCTTCCCAAGTACTTGGGACTACAGGCATGTGCCACTACACCTGGCTCATATTTTAATTATTTTGTAGAGATGAAGTCTCCCTATGTTGTCCAGGCTGGTCTCAAACTCCTGGTCACAAGTGATCCTCTCACCTCGGCCTCCCAAAGTGCTGAGATTACAGGCAAGACCCACTGCTCCTGGCCCAAAATAGCGACAACAACAACAACAACAAAAACTAAAATAAAACCAACTATCCTTAGTTGGACAAAATTTGTAACTAAGCAGTGACTAGAAAAAGTGAGAATGGCTTTTAAATATTTGAAATTATACTTGACCTTATTTGTAATAAATGGTCTTGGGTTTCAGGGGAAGCCCTACCCCGTCAGCTCTCCTGGGCTTTTTGCCAAATCTCTCCCTGGGCTCTCCATGGTGGCCCCACCACTGTGGCAGTTATCTTCGTGGGCCTCCAGGCTATCTGAGGCATCCTTTGAAATCTAGGTGAAGGCAGCCAAGCCCTTACAGCTGGTGCACTCTCCAGGATAGTGGAGATTGTACCACATGGATGCCACCAAGGTTTGTCACCTGTGTCCTCCAGAGGGGCAGCTATTGAGGCCCACTCCACTTGGGCCCACTTGAGCCACAGCTGGGACAGCCAAGGAACACTGCACAGAAATGTGGAGAGCAGGGCCTTGAAATCGTTCTTTCCCCAAGGCTTTGGCATTCTGGGCCTGTGACAAGTGGGACAATTCTGAAGATGTCCAAAATGCCTTCAGGATCAGTCTTCCACTGTATTGCTGACAACGTCTAGCTTCTTTCTATCCATGCTCATCTCCTTATCCGGTGTTCACCTGCCTACACCCTTGCTCTTTAAGAGAGAGCTTTCCATTCTTTAGAACATGGCCAGATTGGGAATTTTCCAGATCTTTTTCTGCTTCCCTTTTGATTAGAAATCACATCTTTAATTCATTTCTCTCTTCTCTTTTACTGTAAGCGGTCAAGAGAAGCCATGACACACCCTTGACACTGCTTAGATATTTTTTCTGTCATTATTTTACTCCATCACTCTTAAGTTCCTCCTTTAGCAAAACACTAGGATAGGAACACAATTCAGCCAAGTTCTTTGCCACCTTAGGCCGTTCCTCCAGTTTCCAATAACATATTTCTCATTTCCATTAGACACCTATTCAGAATGGTCTTTACTCTCCACGTTTCTACTAATATTGTCATTACGACTTCTTACACAATCTCTAAGAAAAGTGAAGACTTCTGTACAGCTCTCCTCTTCTTCTGAGACCTTACAAAAATCTTCCTTAAAGCTCTATTCTTGGCTGTATTCGGTGGCTCAGCCTGTACCCAGCACTTTGGGAGACTGAGGCAAGTGGATTGCCTGAGCCCGTGGGTTGGAGACCAGCCCAGGCAACTTGGCGAGACCTCATCTCTACAATAAATAAAAAGTTAGCTGGGCACGGTAGCGTGTGCCTGTAGCTCCAGCTATTTGGAAGGCTGAGGCGGAAGGATCGCCAGGGCCCCACATGTCAACACTGGGGTGGCCTTGAGCGTGCCACTGCACTCCAACCTGGGCAACTCGAACTCAAAACAAACAAACAAAAAACAACTCTATGGCAATGCAGGCTTTTCTAGCAGGCACCACCAAACTCTTCTGCCCTTTACCTATTATCTAGTTCCAAAGCTGCCTCCACACTTTAAGGTATTTGTTATAGCAGCACCCTACTTCTCAGTATTCATTTCAGTCTTAGTCTGCTGCTATAACAAAATACCATAGACTGGTTAATTTGTAAACAACATAAATGTATTGTTCACAGTTCTAAGAGACTGGAAAGCCCAAGACCGAGTTATATGCAGATTTGGTGTCTGGTGAGGGCCCACCTCTCATAGACGGCGTCCTCACATGGCAGAAAGGGAAAACCCTCTTTCATGAGGGTTCTAATCCTATTCATGAGGGCTCTATCCTCACTACCTAATCATCTCCCAAGGGACCCCTTTCTTCATACCATCACTTTTGGGGTTAGGCTTCAACATGGAAGTTTTGGAGGGACACACACATTTTGACCATAGCATGGCTCCATTAAACAAGGGAACAATGGGTTAGTCAATATCTACTGAATGATACTGAAAGATACTGAATGATAACCAAGATTGTTAAAAAGAAACAAGGTTCAGAGCGGCATATCTAGTTTGCTCCTGTGCATGGGTTTTAGACTCTGGGTTTGGCCAAAATCTGGAAATTGGGTACTACCCTAACAGAAATCTAAAAATGTGGAAATGTAGCCGGGCTCGGTGGCTCAGCCTGTAATCTCACGCCTTTGGGAGGCTGAGGTGAGTGGATTGCCTGAGCCCGCGGGTTTGAGACCCACCTGGACAACTTGGCGAGACCTTGTCTCTACAATAAATAAAAAAATCAGCCGGCTGTGGTAGCGCATACCTGTAATTCCGGCTACTCGGAAGGCTGAGACGGAAGGATCACCGGAGCCCAGTAAGTCGAGGCTGCGGTGGCCGGGAGCGGCCACTCCACTCCAGTCTGGGCGACTGAGTAAGACTCCAACTCAAAAAATAAATAAATAAATAAATAAAAAGTTAAAAATAAAAATGTGGAAATGTCTTGGAACTAGGCCTTGGGAAGAAGAAGGAAGGAATTTGAGGAGTCTTAGTGAAAGACTAAAGAATCCTGAAGAGTGTTAGTAGATGCGTGATGGCTAGCATTTGAGGAGACTGCTGTTGAGGGGAAGGACAGAAAGTATGGAAACGGAAGGAAAGAGACCCTTGTGACATTTGACAACACTGTAACATTGTAACCTATGGTGGTATGGAAAGTAGAAGCTATACCTCCTATGATCTAGCTGAGGAGATTTCCAAGTAGAGTGTTGAAGGTGCCATCTTGTTTCTTCTTGCTGCTTTTAGTAAAATATGAAAAGAAAGAGATAAGCTGAAGGAAGAGATGTTATACAAAAAGGAGTTGAGATTGTTGAGTGTGAAAATTTCTAGCCTCTCCAAGAACCAATGATGCTAAAATTAAAAAAAAAAAAAAGGCTTCTGGCTATTCCTTCACATTTGGCTTATTAGTTACAAGAAGAACAAATATCTAGGGAACTCTTCAGAAAACATGGTCTAAAGATGAAACTAAGGTGTGAATATATGCGGGGGACCCCTGAAACCCGAAATTTATCTATAAAAAATTGTGTATTTGTTTTTACATGTTTAAACTTCGGTCACGTTCAAAGTACTCCCCTTTTGGTGCAATACACCTATCAAGATGCTTTTCCACTGCTCAAAACAGTTTTTGAACTCGTCAATGTTGATGTCTTTTAGTGTTTCTGTGGTTTTTTTGTTTCCCCTCTTCTACATCGGCACAATTTCCTTTTGAGAACTTTTTTCATTGAGGAAACAACAACAAAAAAATCCGCTTAGGGTGAGATTGGATAAATAGGGAGGGTAGGTTACGGGGGTCATGCCGTTTTTTGTTTTTGTTTTAGTTGAAATCTCATTCTGTCTCCCAGGCTGGAGTGCAGTGGCACACTTCCGGCCACCGCAGCCTCAACGTATTGGGCTCCGGCGATCCTTCCACCTCAGCCTTCCAAGTAGCTGGAACTACAGGCGCGCTACCATGCTTGGCTAATTTTTGATTTATTGTAGAGATGAGGTCTCACCAAGTTGCCCAGGCAGATCTCGAACCCGCGTTCTCAGGCAATCCACTTACCTCAGCCTCCCAAAGGCGCGGGATTACAAGCTGAGCCACTGAGCCCGGCTTAGACTTTTATTTTTTATTTTTTTATTTTTTGAGTTGGAGTCTCACTCTGTCGCCCAAGTTGGAGTGTGGTGGCATGCTCATGGCCAGTGCAGTCTCAACCTGCTGGGCTCAGGGGATCCTTCCACTTCAGCCTTCCAAGTACCTGGAACTACCACATCTGGCTAATTTTTTAATTTACTGTAGAGATGAGGTCTTGCCAACTTGCCTGGGTTGGTCTCGAACCACTGGGCTCAG